TGGTCTTCAGTAACCCATGCTTGTCGTAAGAGGCGACAAATGGAATCAGGTGGTCAGGGTCGCTGATTTGGTTGACAATTGTCATTGCATCCCAATCGCGTAGATTGATGCTCATGCTGTTGATCACTGGATTGTCTGATCCAGACTCGACCCGTCCATGTTAAACAACAAACCGACCGACCGACCAACCAACCAACCAATCCAGCTGACCTGCCCATGCCATATCCCCCTCAATGCATGGTACCTGCCAGGGTAACAACAAGTTCCATCTTTTAACCTTACTTGGTATGATGCTGCCAAGAATCAACCACAAACCTTCGGCTCTCCAGAAAAATGCTTTATCCACTGGACCAAGTCAATCTGAGACAACTGTGTTACTAAAATCAGTAACATAACAAGCTCACCCAAATGGACATCGAAGGATGAACAGCTGCATGTTATCTGATTGTTTGCTATCAGTTGAACAGGATCACCTTTGTCCATGTTATCAGGCTGCACAAGCGTTTTGTAATCAATAGGTTTGCTTACTTTTTTCCTCAGTGCTTGTTGTGACAATTAAAACCAATGGTTGAATATGATGAGTTGCTAGGAAGAGGAAATGTTAAAGTTTCCTTTCCTTGTTAAATCTTAAATGTGATTCAGTCTTCAAATAGAAATGAACCCGAGTAACTGTGTTAAGCCCATTTCTGGTTTCCCCTGCCAGCAATATTTCTAAAAGCAGATTAAAACCTCACTCACTCACTCACTCGCCAAATGGGCCACTGGACCTTTGAGTAGTATTCCGGTCTGATGATTAAATCCATGTGGTCAATGACTAACAATGTGAAAAAATGCAATTCCTCCCATGGGTACAATGTGTGAAGCCCATTAAAAAATAGGGGGTGGTGGGTTAGCCTAGTGGTTAACGCGTCCCGGCTAGGTTCGCCACCGGGTGTGATTCCTAAAAATAGGGCGGTGGGTACAATGTGTGAAGCCAATCTCTGTTGTCCCCTGTCGTGATATTGCTGGAATATTACTAAAAGCGGCATAAAACCATACTCATTCACTCACTCAAACTTAAGGTGGACTCAAAATACAAGATGGGGTCTGTGTATTCTGTCTTTATTATTTTGGGTGTGTTGAACCATGGGTAACTCAACGTATTTGCGTATTTCCCTAAGCCACAACGGGTGCATGACAGCACAAACTGTTCTCACCTCTGTGGCCGGATCATGATTATTCCTGCTTAATTTACCATGAATGTAGACATTTATCACCAAGCCAATTATACACGACTTTCTTGGTTATCAGATAGCTCAGAAACTACATAAAAATATCAATATAACTCAAAGTTACGAAACAAAATATGTAACAGAACTCTCGGAATGAAAGCAAAACACGACCAGCTAGCTCAGTCTCCAGATATTATTTTTAGGGAGTAGAAATGGACCTATATAAAATACTCAATAAAAGGTATAGAACAAGAATCTTTTGCATTAACATATGAAAGGGTTGTGTGATCTTGTGGTTGTTTAAGTAGTATACACTATCTTCGTCATTAGGTACAAATATGTGATATTAAAGTTAAATGAGCTTGACAACCTCCAACAATGTGAAGAGAGCACTGTGACGCCGTTGTTGTGTGGACTTTTCACGAGTAAATCATTGTAAGTAGCACACAACGGACACATCTCATGATCAGCTGACAAGGCTGGTGATAAATATAGACATACACCATACCTGGGCCTCAGTCACTATCAAACACTGGAGTATGTACCTGTCAGTTTGAATTGAATACCTGGTCTTGACGAGCACAGGTAAGTAACACCTTTGAGAATCAGTGTGGACGACAATCTACCTGTCTATCTGCATTATCAACTGATCAAAGTAGCAACTGCAGCAGGCGTTGCACAGGTAAGGGTAGACACAATTCAGGTAAAAAGTTGTGGATTCATTTACCTGGGAGGGACACCTGTCTGAACTAAGCTGATGTTAATGTTGATTACAGGTAACTGAACAGGTAGGTTACAAATGCATTGTTATAGTGATACTGGAGATGATGATTGTTAACTTATGGTTTCTAATCTACACAGAGTTTCAGTGGTATTGTTATATTGCCTGTATTAGGGTGTGAGTGACACCATATTTCAGTCTCATGACTGATGGAACAGAACCAGGTAACTTTGGCAAGAGGGCTGCAGCTTTAACTTTTCAACTAACATCAGATGATGATAGAGTTGACAACTTATACCAGGACACGACATGATTAACGGAAGCAATTCACCCATATCAGGTCTTAGTAATGATTTGCAATGTGTAATCAATATCTGAGCACGTGAATCAGTGATTGATTTCCTGACATGAGTAGTGTGAAGTCCATTTCAAACTAGGCTAGCTCAAACGAATGCGATCCAAGACCACTTTTAGCAGTATTTCCACTACAGCCAGCTTAAGGGAAGGCTGAAGATGCAGGTCATTGACCCCTATTGTATAAGCCACATGCACAGGGAGGATATTGGCAGGACAACCCATGCTATGTTTTTGATGTGTGTGTGTGTGTGCCCCCGTGCGTGCATGCGTGCACGTTTGAGAGGTGTATGTGTGTGTTTGAGAAGTGTGTGTGTGTTTGAGTTGTTTGTGTGGATGTTTGAAGTGTGTGTGTGTGTTTTTAAGTGTATGCGTGTGTTTGAGGTGTGTGTGTTGTTGTTTTGAGAAGCGTGTGTGTGTGTATGTGTATATTTGAGATGTGTGTGTGTGTGTGTGTGTGTGTTTGAGGTGTATGTGTGTGTGAGAGAGAGGTGCATGTGTGTATAATTGAGGTGTTTGTGTTTGAGGTGTGTGTATATTTGGGTGGGTGGGGTGGGGTTGCATGTGTGCATGCGTGCGTGCGTGTGTCGTCTTGTGAAAGTCCCACACGTAATACTGACGTGACCTGTCTCAGCACTAGGCAGGGCAACAACTACAGGGCCAAACCATTGACCCCCACCCTCCAGACATCGGGAGGCACTGTAATAGAACATTTCTTTTCTTCTTGTTTTATATGTGCCAAAGTTTGACAGAAACAAAAGACCCCATTGAAAATGCAATAAAACACAAATTGAAAAGGAGCCCCACTGAGGTGGGAGATTCAGAACCTGAGACAAATCTAGACTTGATGCACTTAGGGCTTTGGTATTACATAACAGGTTGGGTGGAAGGGGAAGTAATAAGGTTCTAGGGCTGCGAGACTGGCCATACAGGTTAATGCTAGGAAGAACAACTAGAGGATTAAGTCCCCATTTAAAATAGGATACCTGTGGGGGTTAGGATGTTGTTTGATAGCAACCTATGCATGTTTTAAGAGGCAAGTACATGGATTGAGTTGTCAGATTGATCTCTTGAATGATCGTCAGACTTTGTATCCCAAGTGTCAGATCGTCATTAGGTACTGCTCGTGTTATCAATTACTAGATTTACAGGTTACTGAGTGAAAGTGCGACTGTATTGTTACAACTGGTTGTGTTCATGTCCAACAGCAATGTCATGATGAGATAGCACAATATATGACACCTTGACACGTGACATGCCGAGGGAAAAGGATGGCATCAACAATAACACCTTTTGTGGGTTGAGTAAAAATTTAACCCCCAGGCATGCAAGTGGACAAACAATATTTTACAATTTATGTTATTACCACTTTATATGCGGCTCTCATATATATTGGTTTGTGATACATGACAAACTGAAGCCACACCCATGTCATGGCAAAAGAACATGCAACACGCATGTTACACAAGGGTTTGTTTTCTAATTTGTAGGATCACTAATATTATCTTCAAAACTGGAAAAAATACAACCCGAACTTACATCTGTTTCCATACCATTAATAATTCAAGATTCAAGATTTTTATTTGTAGAAAGGCCATATGACCCAAAGTACAAATGTACAATATAACATAAGATTCTACAGAGTTACTTTCTTTAGTTTTATACATTCAAACACATGTTTAAGAAATTTAGCAAGATTTAACAGAAAGATGTTATTATTTGATTGGCACAGGTTTGAAACATTATTATGGTTACCACTACTACAATTTTGGATGGAACGCTTTATTCTCTGTTACAAAATATACACAATCATACAGTACATGTTTTTTATTCAGCATTACATTACAGTGTTTACAAATGTAGGAGTTCTTACTAAAGACATTTTTCTTACTCAGGTATCCACTTCTAAATAAAGTTAATACACGTCTATGCTCATGGGAACTAATGTTTAACAAATATTTTTCACAATTAAGCAAAATGCGAGAGAATCACTCTGAAGAGAATAGTGCCAGTTCTGATGAATCTTGAATCCATTAATAATTCTTCCCATCAACGATATTTCCATTTATTGATCATTTCATCAGTTTACTCTTGTTTGCCGCTGTCAGATCATACCCTCAAGATCATTTTGAGATTATTCTGTGTTTTGAAAGACGTCAATTATAAAACTTACTTTTTCTCAGTTTGACATTTAATATTTCAACATTAGTGACCAACAATCCACATCGCTAGTCAATACCACATAAACAACACCCAGTCATACCAGGTCCAACCTATCTCCTTATAAACAGCACTGGTTCATGGGGACCAATTCGAACCCAGAATTTCTACAGGTGGTATCAATTAATAAGCATCAAGACCTGGTGTATGATGCAGTATTTTGTTTGCTCTGTCGTAGATTCTCCTAAATTCTTCAGAAGGGTGAAGGAATGGCTCCATGCAGGAGACAATTTGTTTTAGCAAAAAACAGAAGCAAGTTAAGTTTTCCCAGTGCCCTCTGGAAAAAATTATTTTACAATTTTTTAAATAAGATACTCCTCCCATCTTTGAATATGTTGACTGATCAGCTTCCCAGTGCCCTCTGGAAAAAATTATTTTACAATTTTGTAGATAAGACCCTGCTCCCATCTTTGAATATATTGACTGATCAGCTTCCCAGTGCCCCCTGGAAAAATTATTTTACAATTTTGTAAATAAGACCCTGCTCCCATCTTTAAATATATTGACTGATCAGCTTCTCAATGCCCCCCTTATCTCCAGCATCAACACAAACCCGTTATGTGTGGCTGGCAATGGGCGTCACATCCAGTGACATTTGTGTAGTCGAGTGTACTATGGTGTTCCGCTTCAAGAAGCAGGTCATTGAGCAGGGGGTGTACCTTGAAGCCTCGTCATACTGGGACAGAGGCATTGAACGACTGGAACATGTGGCATACAAAACATACACTGTATATACAACAACATTCCGTCCAGGCTGGGATACCAGGTATTGTTTGTTTTAAGTCTCTGTTATAGTTGCTCTCTCTTAAAGTTACACACTGCATCAAAGATAGGGGTTAGTCTCACTACACTTGCCGTCCATGTTGAGATATCAGGTAAGGCTGTATCATGTATTGTCTCTTCTGATGTGTACGTACCAAGGTGAGTGTTGTACCTGTCCTTAACCGATTTGACACTGCATCAAAGACAGGAGGTTACTATCACTGGGGCTATTCTCCTTCCATGCTTTGATATCAGGTAAGTCTGTTTCAGGTATTGTCTCTTCTGATGTCAGTTAACATATCAAGGTGAGTGTTGTACCTGTCCTTGACAGATCTGACACTGCATCAAAGACAGGTGTTTAGTTTCACAGGGAGGGCATTCTCTGTCCATACAGAGATATTAGTTAAGTCTGTACCAGACATAATATCTTCTGTTGTCTGTCAGTCACAATGGGAGATTCTACCTATCCTTGCCAGCCTTGACACTGCACCAGAGAGATATCAGGTAAGTCTGTATCAGGTAGTGTCAGTCACAATGGGAGGTTCTACCTGTCCTTGCCAGCCTTGACACTGCACCAGAGAGATATCAGGTAAGTCCGTATCAGGTAGTGTCAGTCACAATGGGAGGTTCTACCTGTCCTTGAGAAACTTGACACTGCACCAGAGAGATATCAGGTAAATCTATATCAGGTAGTGTCAGTCAGTGTCAGTCACAATGGGAGGTTCTACCTATCCTTACCAGCCTTGACACTGCACCAGAGAGATATCAGGTAAGTCTGTATCAGGTAGTGTCAGTCACAATGGGAGGTTCTACCTGTCCTTGCCAGCCTTGACACTGCACCAGAGAGATATCAGGTAAGTCTGTATCAGGTAGTGTCAGTCACAATGGGAGATTCTACCTATCCTTGCCAGCCTTGACACTGCACCAGAGAGATATCAGGTAAGTCTGTATCAGGTAGTGTCAGTCACAATGGGAGGTTCTACCTGTCCTTGAGAAACTTGACACTGCACCAGAGAGATATCAGGTAAGTCTGTATCAGGTAGTGTCAGTCACAATGGGAGGTTCTACCTATCCTTGCCAGCCTTGACACTGCACCAGAGAGATATCAGGTAAGTCTATATCAGGTAGTGTCAGTCACAATGGGAGGTTCTACCTATCCTTGCCAGCCTTGACACTGCACCAGAGAGATATCAGGTAAGTCTGTATCAGGTAGTGTCAGTCACAATGGGAGGTTCTACCTGTCCTTGAGAAACCTGACACTGCAGGGATCAGGGGAGAAGAATAGCTTGTAAATTACACGCCATGATGCTGGACAAGAAGAGCCTCTCCTGACTGTCTGTTCACGTAAGAGTACCAGAAGAGCCTCTCCTGACTGTCTGTTCACGTAAGAGTACCACCTGTCTATAACCTATCACACTCATTACTCATGCTGTCAGATATGAGGTCAGGGAATTGCATTGTGTGGCCTAGACTAAAGCGTTACTGATAGACACAACACCTAGAAGGGCAGGCCATTCATATGGATCATCAAGATCAATCATAGCTACCTAGATATTAATCGATTATCGCTAAAAATCACAGTAGTAAATTGAAATAAAAAGAAAAAAAAGTGAAAAATATCAACATACGATTCATATCAATAATTCTTCGATGATATTTCCAATATCGATCCTTTTAGCCAGCCCCAACATCCAGCATGTCAAGTGAACAATTTAAAAAAAAAGAAGTAAAACCAGAGAAAAAATTATATATTTTTATCTTAACAAATTAGTCCTTTCTAAAACAATCCCTAAAGACAACCCTCCCCTACCCTCAGAATACCATATGACGGGTTCCTCAAATACAATACATCAGATGGAATCTTGGGTGGTGTATACCATTGTTTAGCGAAACATTTCATTGGGTGCAGGTCCATGCTAGCGGGATATATGACGGACTGACTGGTTGATACCAGTCAGTAGTCACTGTCACATGCACAGTAAGTCACCATAACCCCATTAGGTTTCGAGATGACTTGGGTACAAATATGCCTTCAGGCTTGTGAAATTCCATAGCCCCACAGTATAACAATGTGTTGTTACCAAGTGTAGGTTTTAAGCTTGCGTACACATACATGTCTTTACAGGTATTTTTGTTTTGACGGAAGTCATGCAGCAAGTGTACACAAAGGTGACGACAGTGAATGATGAACCCTTGTGCTGCACCCAGAGTTTTACACAGACTTTTAAATATCGGAGTCATGGTGACTCACAATATTTATTTTTGGGAGTCATTTCAATATTTGGGAGTCATGAGAATTTTAATATTTCTTTGCGTTAATCATTCTCAGTATGTAACTGTGAATGTCACACCACCAAATGAAACTACAGCATTGTTCAGTTCAAACAGCCAGGATTACTGTCTCCTCTGAGTTCTCTGGAACAATCTGACAGCTCTGTAAAAGTCAAACTATCATTGAACAATATCATTTTTTGCTTATCAAATCGATTTTATTGAACTGAATTGTGGGGGCCACCCATAAAACTTGCCTCAAGCTTGACTCGTATGATAATATTTTGAGAGTCGTTTACAAAATTGTTGCGTCAAATACGCAGGAATCATGCATCATGTAAAACCCTGGTTGCACCTTGCTTATTGTAACTTAAAAATGCAGGGCCGATTTAAACATTTAGAACTTGCACTGGTGCAGCCTGAAACCTCAAAATGCAGCCTTATATATATATATATATATACTGCGATTAAGTGGTGTTCCCTTATTTGTTTCTCTCAGTATATTTGGATGTTCAAAGAACACAGATTGACTTTAGTATTTACTAGGGCTGTTCCAATTAACTCACTTATTTGGTAAATTGAACAGTATTTGTTCCTGAATTCAATTCGCAATCAATTTATCGGAATCGCTAGAATCGAATGGTTCTGATTTTACTTGAATTTGTTATTGATATGAGATATGCAAAACGGAATATATCCAGACGAGGCAGGATAATCGTCAATGCTCTTACATATTTGATTTGACAATATAGTGGTCACTGGTGATTGTCAGGACCAATAACACTGTCACCATGGTTGAAACATGGCAGATCATTTATTTTGTCATCATTTGACTGTCTTCTTTGAGTGGCATTTTAGAACTTGGGATGTACAATATTGAACAAACTTCTTTTATTTTGTGACTGCAATGTTTCGATACAGATTCATGTACGATTGTCAAGCAGGAATGCTGTACAAGAATCTGTACATATCGAAACATCGCACTCACGAAATAAAAGAAGTTGTATTTATAAAGTTTGTTTAATATCATTTGACTGAATATGAAGAATAAATCATCATCTGGTGACCTGTTATGGTATTTGGGAAAATATTCGTAATCATGACCCTGTGATCGTGATATATATGTTGTATTCACCGCATAGTGGATTCGTTGCAGCCCTCGTATTTACTAAATATTAGCTAGTATTTACTACACAAGCAGTGAACCTGATCTACCACTACAACCAGTCAAGCATTGTAAGGAATGCTACACTGAAAGATCTAAGAATACAAGCAGTGGTAGGCCTCATGGATTAACCTGATTTGTAAGCAGGCAAGCTGCACTATTTGCATGACTGCCAAATGAAAACAAGCCAAGCAGGTTTTATGTCATATACAGTGGGTGTCATAAAAACAGTTCACTGTGTACCGGGTAAACAACCACTGATGGCGATGCACTGGTGGATGGCTGAAATAATATATGGTCTACTCGGTGTGTGCTTGGGGGGGATTTTGTGTGTGAGTGAGTGGATATTACATCAATGGTGAGAACAGTATGAAAGGGTCACTAAGTCAATATGTGTCTCCCCCAGAGAGACCCGTGAAGATCTGGGGTAGAATAGGTCTTCAGCAACCAATGCTTGCCACAAAAGGCGTCTATGCTTGTCGTAAGAGGCGAATAATCGGATCAGGTGGTCAGGCTCGCTGACTTGGTTGACCCACATGTCATCGGTTCCCACTTGCGCAGATCAATGTTCATAATGTTGATCACTGGATTGTCTGGTCAGACTTCGATTATTTACAGACGCTGCCATATAGCTGGAATACTGCTGAGAGAGAGAGAGAGAAAGAGAGAAGAGAGAGAGAGAGAGAGAGAGAGAGAGAGAGAGAGAGAGAGAGAGAGAGAGAGAGAGAGAGAGAGAGAGAGAGAGAGAGAGAGAGAGAAAAGAGAGAGAGACACACTGTTTTGGACAGGTGGGTGGAAGAGTAATTGTTTTCTCTGCCTTAACCAATATTCCTACTAATGAGTTAAAAAAATTGGGTTCAAATACACAGGCCAAGCACTGCTGTGTGGCGGTGAATGCTGATGATGGCAGAGACCCAGTACATATTACCCTTTGCTGAGACAAGATACAACATGGACTTTACCTCTACAGCTGTAAGGACTTGACTGCACATGTTTACACCACAGTGTTACACACCATATATCCCCCCTGTACTTGGTGACAGCACAGAGTCTGTAAGAGGAACCTGATATGTCACCATAGTACACATTTAACCTTGAACTAACCTCTAAAAATTCCCTTCAGGCATATCAAACAGGGGCACTGTTTCACAAAGGTGCTAGAAGGTTAACAATCACATAACATTTCTGCATGTGCTTCATGTATTTCTGGGCCCCGTTTCACAAAGCTATCAAAGCGCTACAACTGTCGTAAGTCTATGTTAGAGTATACAAGGTATGACAGTTGTAGGGCTACCACCGGATCCTGTTAGTCGCCTCTTACGACAAGCTTGGGTTACTGAAAATCAATTCTAACCCGGACCTTCACGGGTCCTTGGATTGTATATTCCCGGGAGCTGTGAATGGATCGTACCCACAATTTGCCATTTCTTCTGGTGGAGATTGTGTCTTGGAGGTAGTATGTTATTGTGCTGGGCTGCACTGCATCAATGACGGCGAATTCACCAACAGGTGCACACACTGCAGCCTCATCATTTGGTGGTGGTTAAAGTGTTCGCTCATCACCCCAAAGAGGCGGTTCAATTGCCTACATGGGTACAACATGAGAGGCCTATTTCTGGGGTCGCCTGCCTTCATAATGCTGGAATATTGCTAAAAGAGTCGTAAAATGAAACTCACTCACTCGTCGTGTCCTGTTCATGCATGATGGGAACATGCACTGAAACGTACACCACCACAATAGTTACATTCAAATCATACTCTCCTTATAATGTAACCAAACATTAGATAAGTGGAATATATCTAAACAGCCGACTCTGCTTGACTCTCTCTGTAACAGAATGGCTTGTGTAACTGCCTGTGTAACTGAGACCAACACCGAAATAGAATCATCTTTACTTCGCAGTAAAGAGTCGAGAGATGAAGTTGTGTAGAAAGAAAAGCAGGAAAATTAACAAACATCTCGTATTACACTTTAACATAGCTAGGAACTAAAAACTAATGACAATAACTAAAACCAACATCTTCATCACTGACATTTGATGTGGGTTAGTAATAGCAGACTGGTGAATTCATCAAATAAATTTGAAACAAATTCTCCATGATGATCAAACAATATTTAGCCAATCTCAAATATGGGTTAAAGATTTCTCCACAGTTAATTAGATCAAGTTACAGTGAGATGTACTAATTATGGACGAAAGCTAAGCAGATGTGGGCAAAGGGGAACCAGCTTCTGCAACACATGGCTGCGCAGTAAACTGTGCGTAACTAATTATGTAATGACGCATAACTTTGTGGTGAAGGTAGATTAAAAGTATATGCTTTGGTTGATTCAGACGATGCAAACGGTTGGAGATGCACATTTACATGTTCTACAACGTATTATCTGATGCTGACTGACTGAGGTCACACAGAAGGTAGGTATCTAAGATGTAACTGATAAACCTCAGTTGGACTTGGTTGGGAAGCTGCTGCCTTGAGTGGATGACTTGACACAGTTTGTTCAAAGTAGATTTCGACTGGTTTGTGACTAGACCCCTTAATTGACAGGTGTGTTGTAATCAAGCAGTCTGCCCGATCTGATGATGTTCAGGTGAGTACAGAGAATACTTATCTGAATATAATTTAGAGACAATTATAGATATTGTGATGCCAACAACCTACAAATTCATTTTCAAATTTCATTGTGCATGAGTGAGAAAGTAGGTTTTTAGGGAGAAGCATGTACAATGTGAATGTACCCCCCCCCCCTCTAAAATTTATGTACAAAGTAAGTGACCCCACCCTGCATGTCATGTACAAAATCAATGACCCCCCCTCCCTTCCCATAATTTTTTAGCATATTATAAAAATAATTTTATGTACAAAATTGATGACCCCCCTAGCACATGTGTACAAAATTGATGACCCCCAAAACAAAATGGGTGACACCTCCTTAAAATCATGATCACCCCCCTAGCCATAAATTATGAACTGTCCCTAAGCAGGGTTTAACTTGACAAGCTGAGGTTTCAACCCCCAGTAAATATTAATAGCTTTAACTTGGAAAAATTTCTTACCAAAAGCAATCTGGTCTGAGAATAGGATCTTTTAAGGAAAGAACTTTAAACCTTAAGAGCTTAAACCGAAAAAATACTGTGTACCATTAAAGGACTTTCCAAGGTCAGTGATTTGCTATAGTCTTTACGGTCATAAGATATGTTATCCATATTTTGAGGAGTGCAAATATAATCAAGCAATGTGGGGATGCAATGTGGGATGCCGAATGGGGATGCCATGTGGGGATGCCGTGTGGAGATGCCCTGTGGGATGCCGTGTGGGGATGCCGTGTTGGGATGCCGTGTGGGGATGCCGTGTGGGATGTCATGTGGGATGCAGTGGGGGATGCCATGTGGGGATGCCATGTGGGATGCCGTGTGGGGATGCCATGTGGAAATGCCGTGTGGGATGCCATGTGGGATGCCGTGTGGGGATGCCGTGTTGGGATGCCGTGTGGGGATGCCAGGTGGGATGTCATGTGGGATGCAGTGGGGGATGCCATGTGGGGATGCCATGTGGGATGCCGTGTGGGGATGACATGTGGGATGCCATGTGGGATGCAGTGGGGGATGCCATGTAGGATGCCATGTGGGATGCCGTGTGGAGATGCCATGTGGGATGCCATGTGGGATGCCGTGTGGGATGCCATGTAGGATGCCAGTGGGATGTGGAGATGCCATGTGGGATGCCATGTGGGATGCCATGTGGGATGCCGTGTGGGATGCCATGTGGGATGCCGTGTGGGATGCCATGTAGGATGCAGTGGGGATGCCATGTGGGATGCCGTGTGGAGATGCCATGTGGGATGCCATGTGGGATGCCGTGTGGGGATGCCGTGTGGGATGCCGTGTGGGATGCCATGTAGGATGCAATGGGGGATGCCATGTGGGATGCCATGTGGGATGCCGTGTGGGGATGCCGTGTTGGGATGCCGTGTTGGGATGCCGTGTGGGATCCCGTGTGGGATGCCGTGTGGGATGCCATGTGGGATGCCGTGTGGGATGCCATGTAGGATGCAGTGGGGGATGCCATGTGGGATGCCGTGTGGAGATGCCGTGTGGGGATGCCTCGTGGGGATGCCTCGTGGGGATGCCATGTGGGATGTCATGTGGGGATGCCGTGTGGGGATGCCATATGGGGATGCCATGTGGGGATGCTGTGTAGGGCTGCCATATGGGCTGCCGTGTGGGGATGCCATATGGGCGATGCCGTGTGGGGATGCCATGTGGGGATGCCATGTAAGGGATGTGATGTGGGGGATGCCATGTGGGGATGCCATGAGGAGATGCCATGTGGGATGCCGTGTGGGGATGCCATGTGAGGATGCTGTGTGGGGATGCCGTGTGGGGATGCCATGTGAGACACTGTACCTGACAAACAACCAGTTTAGTTGCTCTCACAAACACCAAAGGTTGCTGGGCATCTACACAAACTGGTAAATAGGAAGGGAGGTAACTCACTCGGGACAAAAATACAGTACATGATGCAGTGCATCAAAACCTTATCTCAAAGTTTGTATGACAAATTACAGCTGTTACCACCTGCACAATTAATGCTGCTCATTCTCAATACTCATATTTTTCATAAACAAGCAGATTCACTTGATATTTTTATCTTTTCAGAATGTAACAGACTCAACGCTCAAGAAAATTCCCCCACAAAATTGAGAATTCCAAATCAGAACTGTTCAGAAGATGGAGCTGCTAAAGCTAGTTGTCACCTTAGTAGTATGTGCATTCTGTGCTCTCATCCCTTCTGCTGTTGGGCAGCATGAGACTGAAGGTCTCATCATCGGCCCGCGTCCAGATCAATCAATCAAAGTCAATGGAAATGCTGCATTTTCATGTTCAATGGTAAACAGAACAATCGAATGGACATACGAAAATGGCACGAAAATATCGATGCTCAATACCTCCAGGATATATTTCAATGGTGGTGATCTCTACATCAACTCGGTCAACTTGAACGATACAGGAAATTATGTATGTTGGACAACTGATCATGCTTTGAACAAAACAGTGGAATTCAGGGCTTACATTATGCCAACGTACTTCACGGAAGGGATGATAATTGTCGGTGTCAACTGTGGACTTATACTTCTGTTTATTGGCTGCGGGATTAACTCACTCATTCAATCAAAACGCCAGAGTAGGAAACGTAAAGAAGAGACCTACAGAAAACCAGCTCCAATTTAAAAAACATCACACAAATTAAAATATAAGGATATTCTATTCCAATCTCAAAGAGTGTTGATTTTCAAATATACTCTGGTCAGTAATTCAGCAATGAGCTACAGTTTCTACAGCTGCACACATGCCCCCATTTCATATGAAATACCTAAAGTTCACAGTCACATGACCATCGCATCCCATCAGGTACCCATTCACTGCTGGCTGACATTTTGACCAAGGAGACAACAGATGTGTTATATGTGCTTCAGTGTTGGGCAGGATCGATTTCCTAGAAATTGTCAGGAGTCAAGCTTCCTGGCTCACCTCTGAACAAGCTCTAAGATCAAGCTGAAAAATATCACACATATCAAAATCTAAGAATATCCAATTCCTATCTCATAGTTTTTTTGAAAATAATCAGGTCAGTAATTTGGAAAGGTGAGCTACAGTGTCAATTTGATACGAAATACCTGAAGTTGATTACACTACTACACTTGTATGAAGATCCTGCCAGTAATTAAGGCCAGATCCTGGTCCCGGTCTCCAGTGATCTCAGTGCTTCTACTATCATAAGTATGTGCTAAAGTTCGGTAATTAAAACTGCCTTAACACTAAACAAGTTACAAGGATTTACATTTTTCAGTCTCAAGTGAATAAATGGTATTAATCCCAAACCATTTCCTCACAAGGGAAAGAAACTTTCAAGGTCATACATATATATTACCAGAGTATGAAATAAGGCCTGTCCGACAGCCCGAAACAGGGGTAGATTTCGGACGGGTGGTCTAAATTTACAGCTAGCCAGCCCGATGTTCTGGCAAAATATTTAGATAACATGTTCCATACATCCGAGAAAATGAGCGTAACATTTAGACTTGACAATTTGTTTAAACATTAAACTATCGTATCGCAACTCAATGCACTGTGTTGACATATATCATCACTAAAACAGCTACATATCTCAGGTTCATTAATTATTCATTGTAACGAAAAATTGAGTTATTTTTTGGGATTATTTGGTCTGGTTAAATCCATTTTGGGCTGGTAACATTGAAGTTTTCAGCCCTAATGTCTGGCTGGGTTTTTGGCTTATTTCATACACTGATATTACTTGTTATTTCAACATGTTTGAGAGAAACAATGTAGAAAAACGGTCAACCCTATACACTTCACTGATGGCAGACTACTGTTCGGATGACGTCATGTCATAACTTTGTGATGACATGAACAAACGCATGACGTTTCATTGTATTTTTCGACAGCGAAGCCATAAGAAGCCATGTTTTATTGTTTTTATGTTTTCTCCTTTAGTATTGTAGCAGGCATTAGTATGAGCAGGTATTAGTACCTGGATGTAGCGCTATATAAATACCCACATTATTATTATTATTATTAGACCGTGTAATTGGCAAATCAGTAATGTGAATCGCTGAAAACAATTTGAATGTGCAAATACCAAGTGTGAGTGAGTTTAGTTTTATGCTGCTTTTAGCAATATTCCAGCAATATCACAGTGTGTAACACTAGAAATGGGCTTTACACATTGTACCCATGTGAGGAATTGAACCCGGATCTTCGGGGTGAAGAGCGAACTCTGTAAGTGTAACCGCTAGGCTACCCCACCGCCCTGCAAGTACCGGAAAGTCATTACAGGCAATCATTCTACCCTTATTGTTACCATTCTACCCTTATTGGTACCATTCTACCCTTATTGGTACCATAATGTTTCCTTCTGCTTGTGTTGTGGTTAAGGATCTGTTACTGTAACACCTAATGATCATTACAGGCAATCATTCTACCCTTATTGGTACCAGTCTACCCTTATTGGTACCATTCTACCCTTATTGGTACCATTCTACCCTTATTGGTACCTAGTGTTTCCTTCTGCTTCTGTTGTGGTTAAGGATCTGTTACTGTAACACCTAATAATCAGTATTCAATGTGTTGTGAACAGATATTCAGGATGTGTACTGTGATATATTGAGAGATGGAGAGTTTGCATGTGATTGACACATTTGCACATGCAGATGCTATTTTCTATATACTAATGTAAATATTACATCATTGTTATTTGTCGCCATTTTAAAGTAACAGGGCAAAAAACAACATCAGAGAGAAAGAAATCTTTGATGTTTAATTAGTTTTGTCAATTTGACGGTAAATAGCATTTGTCGATGATTCTGTGAAATGATAATATAAGCTATTGCGATATATGTCATTTGGAAAGCATATTGCTGTATTCGGTTATACAGGTAGTATTGTGCTGTCATAGTAGATATAGTTTTATATTTAACCTCATGCTTAATGAAGTCACACATGGCAATCAATAAATGTTTATATTGACTGCACATTCAATGCACACAAAAATAGAATAAAATGAAAAATAAGAAAAGGCAAAGGTTTAGCAGTAGTAGAAACTGTAGACATTATTACATTAGTTTGAGTTTTGGCAGTGAAACAATTCCAACAGCTGTTGGGACAAAGTCAGAGTTTAAACATAGACAATATATATATACATGTATATTCTAGGTGTCCCACTTTGGCTAGGCATCCCACTTTGACTAAGCGTCTGACTTTGTGTGCTGGCGATTAGGTGCCTGACTCTGAGGGTGTGGGTTCGAATCCCGGAAGGGACTCAACCCCAAAAAAGTACTAGAATCTGTACTTTACTGAGATATGATGTAATCCCAAATATAATATATGTTACATTTGACCACTTTCTAAAATGGCATTGTGTATTTCATGTTTATTCTAAATAGTACACAAGGCACTTGTAAGTTGATAAAAATTGCCTATGCCAAATTATGTTGAAAAATGGTTTTCAAGGTATGGCACGGAATGGATGTGAAGACCAATGAAAGGGAACCAAGCCCAACACTATATGTCTGCCTTTTTCCTTTGTACATTGAAATGCACAATTCTCATGCGTCCATATAGAGCAGGGAAGACTATGTATACCGCCATGTGTATATTCTGTAATGCTGTGATTACAAATCTAATGATATTCATGCATGACATTATTTCAGATAAATACTCGGCATCATTTCAGAATTTAAATAAAGATATTTTTATACATTTTAAAGCCTGTTTGTGTTGTTTGTAAAAATAACAGTTGCTAAGAAACAAGCAAAGTGTGTTTATTTGCCTAAGAAGGACTGACTGACTGAGTTTAGTTTTGCTTTTGCAATATTCCAGCAATATCATGCATGGGGACACCAGAAATGGGCTTAACACATTGTGCCCAAAGGAATCGAAGATCCTTACGCGAATAGCGCTAACCACTAGGCTACCCACCGCCCCCATAATGAAAGGAAGAAGATCTTGGCTCCGGCTCTGAGTTGAATATTTTTGTTTGCTTGTTTGTTGTTTAACGCCACAGTCAACAATATTTCAACTATAGGGCGGCTGTCTGTAAATAATGGGAGTCCAGATCAGACAATGCAGTGATCAACAGCATGAGTATCAATCTATGCAATTGGTATGTGATGACATGTGTCAACCAAGTCAGTCAACTACATGAGTGAGCCTGACCATCTGATCCCGTTCCTCTGAGTGAGTGAGTGAGTGAGTGAGTGAGTTAGTGAGTGAGTGAGGTGAGTGAGTGAGGTGAGGTGAAAGGTGAAACTGGGTTTTACGTCGTGCTTGAGAATATTTCGCTCATATGACGACGTGCATGCATGTGTATGTGTATGTGCGGCTGCTTGTACTAGCCCAGACTTAAGCTGGTTTTATAGTGCTAGCCCACTGAGATACCATGCTGCAGTGAAGCATGAATACCCCACTCAGACACATTATACTGACTCCGAGCCGACCAGTCCCTTGTTGTACCCATTAATGCCGACCGCCAGGCAGAGACCAACAAGTACCATATTTTAACGTCTTTTGGTATGACGCGGTCAGGGATCGAACCGGCGACCTTCGACACCGGTGGACGCTCTAACCACTACACCACAGAGTGAGTGAGTGAGTGAGTGGGGATGGGTATGTGGGTTTGTTGGTGAGTGAGTAAATTGAAACACATGACGCATTGTACACGAATACAAATTTCAACCTCATATTTTGTTATTATTCTAGATTATGCATATCACATCAGTTGATTTTGTTTGAGGGAAAACTTGCTTCACTATTTAAAATGCAATGTGCAATGACCCTCTGCCTTCTAATAAACGCTGGCAATATACATAAGCCTACCTATATTAATAGTCCATAGATTGCATTATACACTGGACTGACACCCTAAACGATGCACAAAGGCAGCCAAAACACCCGATTATTTCCCCATGGATCAGGGTGTAATAAATTTATCATCCTCGGCAGGGTATATAACCAGAGCTGCCCATCAGGTTAACAGTCACATGACCATCTCATCCTACCGGGTACCCATTCACTGCTGGGTGAACAGAGACATTTTGATCCAAGTCCCTTGCCAAAGGGAACAACACATGTGCTATATGTGCTCCAGTGTGGGGCAGGACCGATTCCATAGAAAGTCTTAGGAGCTAATCTTCCATGCACACCTGTGGACAAGCTCTGATATCACTGACCTTCACAGAGTTTGTACGAGAACAACCACTGGTGGATATTGTCAAATCCTGAGAAAACCTTACAACTGTGCCATTTTCTATCACATGTCGATAAGAGTGATCATGGTGGAACCATCTGATTACATCTGGAAAGGATCTTGTAACCATGGTAACAACCACTGGCATCATCTTAGATGGTATCTCAAAAAGCATCTCTGGTCCTGACTTACGCCTAAATGCTAGTTACATATCAGGTATTGACAATCGCCATACATCAATACATTGATCAATAGTTTAACTAAAGTTATACCCAATTATCGGTAGTTATAACCAATTATCTGAAGTCATAACAATGCAATTGTTAAAACTGACCCTTTGGATTTATCTCCACCAGCTCAAGGCTGAGTGAGTGAGTGAGTGAGTTGAGTTTACACCACACTCAGCAATATTACAGCTATATGGCAGCGGTCTGTAAATAATCGAGTCTGGACCAGACAATCCAGTGATCAACAGCATGAGCATCGATCTGCGCAATTGGGAACTGATGTCAACCAAGTCAGCGAGCCTGACCACCCGATCCCGTTAGTTGCCTCTTACGACAAGCATAGTTGCCTTTTGTGGCAAGCATGGGTTGCTGAAGACCTATTCTACCTCGGATCTTCACGGGTCTGATATTCAAAGACAAGGTGGAGGCAAATGACATATTTTAAAACTGGAATTCAAACTTTCCAAATTCATGTTGAAATAACCTTGTTTTTCATTTAAGTCTGTCCACTTTCAGGATAATGTGCACCATGACTATAACAAATAGATATTTTATGTCTTTGCAGAAATACTTGCATTTCACTGATAACAGAATAACCGCACAAGGGTTGTATTTCCCAGTTACATAATGCATACAATGCAATCTCAAAATACAATGTTGAAATAGCTACACATGTAGGAAATAGAGCTATGAAAAGTCCCTATTTAGAACATAATAATAGTTATTTCTGAATATTCCTGCCAGGCTCCCTCAGTTTACAATCCTCGTTAATAAATGTCGTGACATGCATGGCCTGGGGCAAGGAAACAATTCCAAATTAGACACATTAACAATCAGGTGTTACTTGCCTGTGGTCATGTCCCTATTATGAGAAAAATAGCCCTGATAAACAGTGTTCATGAATAGTGTCTGACCCTCTGACAAATCTGGCAGATTCCGATACGGTCCGATAGAAATCTACAACCCCAGTGTCTGACTGTATGTTTCACGATGACTTTGACTGAAGTTGTTATATGCCACATGTCACATGTGACACTTGTTTGCTGTTTATAAATCTTATGTTTGTTAGTAATTTTTAATGCCAATTATAAGAAATTTTAAATCTGAAATGTGTGTTTAATTTTATTCTATGGGTCTTGTGAAGTTTCTATGGGTCAGAACAGACATCTGAAACTTACAGGACACTGGCTTTGAAACACCATTTGTGAACACTGGATAAAGAATGATGAAAATGTTCCAGGTCATATGGATTTTGAGTGTTAGGTCAGTTGCCACACTCAGCAATATTCCACACTCAGCAATATATGGCGGCAATCTGTAAATAATCGAGTCTGAACCAGACAATCCAGTCATTAACAGCATGAGCATCAATCTACGCAAATTGGATATGATGACATGTGTCAACAAAGTCAGCGAGCCTGACCACCCGATCCTGTTAGTCGCCTCATATGCCAAGCATAGGTTGCTGAGGACCAATTCTTACCTGGATCTGACAGTATGATGGAAACCCCAGATAAAAGTTTCAGACATTAACTACTTTCCTGAAACCTGCAACCATGACTATGGTGCTGACAAATCTAGAAACAATTGGAGGGATCTGGAACTGAAACCAAGTCTACAGGGTTCTGGTGTGCCCAAGAGACGTAACTCCACACAGCACATGTTAAACATGCTGAGAAAATAGGAACTAAATTAATCCCATCCAGATTCTGATTTAGCTCAAGGTGGTTCAAATGACATCATTCTGCACATGCTCAGACAGCACTTGCCATGTCAGGGGTGGAAATAACTTTAAAATTGCTAGTGTACTCCGGAACAGTAGCACATGTAAAATCACTTGCCCTGATCATTTTTCCACTATACCGGCCATTTTCTTGTTGAATTTTTACAATAAACAACATATTTAACATTGGAAAGTCAACTGGACACCGGTACAGTGTGATATACAAATTTGCTTGCCCGACAGAAAAAACCGCTGGACTCGGACGTCGGGCAATGAGTTACTTCGGCCCCTGCATGTCATACTTCGGTGTACTCCACAAACAATTCCTGTTCAATCTGTCCGCTCCTGCTATCTGTTCAGACTTATAATGTCTTTATTCAAGTCAGCAAGGTTTCAACTGTATCACAACTTACCCAGTCGGAACCAGTCTGGCCCAGACAAACCAGGGATCAATACCGTCAGGAACGATCCATGTCACACAGGGGGAACAAAGAAGGAATAAAAGGTTTCTTACCTTTAGCAGATTTCACTTGGTTTACATATCGGGAATTGCTGCAAAGAGAAAAGATAATAATTATCATTATAATTTTCATTTGGTCTTGTGCAACAAAACCATCAATGAATTATGCTCATCTAAACGTCCTAATTTCTAAACACTACAGACTCACAAGCTTGCTTGTACCACTTTTTCAAATGGATCCCTATTTCTTCTCTGATGGGCATTTGAGAAGTTGAGTTGATGAAGAATAATGACAATTATTATGGATATACAACTTCTTTTATTCTGTGGAGGCCACACGTTTTTTCGACATAGGTTCTAATGTCGTTGTCAAGCAAGTGATACATGAGTAACAAATTGAGAGAATATATACAGTTGTTGTTGTTACAGGAGTCACCGCAGTTACATTCTATGTGGTAAACCACACCTGAGGGGTCTTGCTTCTGGGATGACCCAGGTCTTCCTGTGGCCTGCAAGAGGTTCTGGATGCTGTTGCCTCTTTGGAAGGTGACGTCTATGTCAGCTTCCCCTTTATCAACCAGACCATCAACAACACCCTCGACCTAACAACCAAGTCCCCCTCGACAACAAACAGCCCCCTTCACCATCAGTCTCCCATACATAGGATCAACTAGTCATCACATCCGACGACTCTTGAAGCACTAAGCTGACAGACGTCACCTTCCAAAAAGGCAACAGCATCCAGAACCTCTTGCAGGCCACAGGAAGGCCTGGGTCATCCCAGAAGCAAGACCCCTCAGGTGTGGTTTACCACATAGAATGTGACTGCTGTGACTCCTATGTCGGAGAAACATCAAGATCACTAACCCCCAGGATCAAGGAACACCAGGCTTCATTTAGGAAAAATGATTCTAAATCAGCCATTGCCGACCACGGCAAAGCCCATCTTAACCACACCATCAACTGGGACAAGACCAAAACCATAGTGAAGAACCAGTCAGACTACAAAATTCGTAAACTTTTGGAAGCAGTGCACATCAAGAAGATAGGACCCGCCCTCAACAGAGATAAAGGATACTACATTCCCAATGCCTACCATCACTTGATAAAGTAATCAATAATATTTCTTGTGTACATTACCTGTTTCATTCCAACCATGTACATCAACCCCATCCATTGTATAAACATCCACCTGGCTTCCTATCAGTTGTATAAGCTCTAATTCAGTCCATGTATGTCACCCTACTGGCTTCCTATCAACTTACTCAATCTCTCATACAAGCGTTGTACATCAACCTCATCTATTGTATAAACAACTCATTCCTATCTACTGTAACTGCTGTATATATTCTCACAATTTGTTACTCATGTATCACTTGCTTGACAATGACATCAGAACCTATGTCGAAACGTCGCCTCCACAGAATAAAAGATGTTGTATACAGTCAGACCTCGTTAATACGAACACTTTGGTTTTTTAAAAAAACCGTTCAGATAGTGAAACGTTCGTACTGCTGAAACCACAGTATATGCACCGAGTTACTTCCCCTTGATACAACTACAACTTAAATAAAATTATTTTTGAATGAAAATGCAAGCTTACATTTATAATGTCCACATAAACCACGAAAGAAGCAAAAACTATGGCGATTTTTTTTCCATTTGTGACATGTCATCAGAAAATAATTATAAAAAGATTTCTTAAATAATATGTATGGTCGCCTATTTCCCGATATCTGTGGCTTTCCGCTCGGTAACATGACATAACGGAAAATACCTGCGTTTTCGAAGCATCGTATGAATAACATGGGAGGCGAATCGTTTGATGTCGGGTATCGTTCGAAAGCTCTGAACATCAACAACATCACTGAACCCTTGTCGAAAGTATTTTTCACAGTTGTAAGAAGCGATTTTTATTGGATACAAATTGGTTTCTAATAGCGATTTTCGCTACAGTCTGCTATAAAGGGTCGTGATTGGTCAAAATCAGACACCGCGTGACCTAAGGCAGCCAATCATATTCACGGCAATGGATACCGGCCTCGTGAAATCTTGAAAACTTTTAGATTTAGGCGAAGTTTTGGGTAAAATAATGCTATTTTGAACATATTAAGCAAGAAATGCGCTACCTATCGTAAATTATGGAACTTATTGGACGATATCTTGCTAGGTTATGACCTGTGACAAAATGCTTCATGTATATATTTTTTGATTTTATTCATTAGTTTATTCAATTTATTTAATGAATTCCTCGAAACATCGTTACTTTGCTCTTTGACAATGTTATTGTGGACCCGCTGCGGGGCATGTCCGGAGAATCGTTGTTTTCAATAACATTGCGAAAAATAGTTTATAATTTTAATTCGTGTTGAAATGGTACCGAGCATATATTTCTGGATTGAAGTCTTTCCCAAAACAGCGTGATCGTCGAAATTTCCCTATCACTTATGATAAAGGGATCAAAGGGATGAGTCGCTAAACAAACAACGTGTCACTTTGGGTGGACCAGTCAGCAGCGCGGTCAACTTCAATCGTTCGGATTAACGCAGCTGTTTACAACGTAATTAGTCCAATCCGTTCCGACTGACCAGCGTCCGGAGGCGGAAACTGAATCATCGGACTAACGAGGTGTCAATTATATACAATATATAGGGAGATGATTTGGTGCCCAGTGAGTAGCGTTCGGAAGTCGGTGGATTCGGATTAACGAGGACCGGATTACTGCGGCCTGACTGTATCCATAATAATTGTCATTATTCTTCTGGATCCCTATTCATGGTAAAAGCTACCTTTGACAAAAATGCAGCTCTAAAGCTTTTGTTTAACATGGCAATTACTGGAGGCCAATGAAAGATGGTAAAAAAGATGGTTCACCATCCTTGAATGCTTACAACTGGAAACATAATTATAATCTTAGACATCTGTGGCAATAGCATCACTCCTGACTCTCATATGGAGAAATACTGAAAGCCTTGGCAACAGAAACCAAACTTGCATCTAGAAGTTTTTAATTAAAATCTGTTCAATTTCAGGGTATGGTGTGCCATGTTTAAAACAATAAAGTAAGTGACTTGTGTTCTGCTAACAGCATGCTTTGATATACATGACTCATTCTGCTCCAAAGATGATGCCATTTCAGCATTTCTAACATCACAGCAGCCAATAACATATAACATCCAGCAGGACCACCCGGTGCAACATCTCATTGGGGTCACCAACCTTGACAACCTGGTGCAACATCCCATTGGGGTCACCAACCTTGACAACCTGGTGCAACATCCCATTGGGGTCACCAACCTTGACAACCCGGTGCAACATCTCATTGGGGTCACCAACCTTGACAACCTGGTGCAACATCCCATTGGGGTCACCAACCATGACAACCCAGTGCAACATCCCATTGGGGTCACTAACCATGACAACCCGTTGCAACATCCCATTGGGGTCACCAACCTTGACAACCTGGTGCAACATCCCATTGGGGTCACCAACCTTGACAACCTGGTGCAACATCCCATTGGGGTCAACCTTGACAACCCGGTGCAACATCTCATTGGGGTCACCAACCTTGACAACCTGGTGCAACATCCCATTGGGGTCACCAACCATGACAACCTAGTGCAAAATCCCATTGGGGTCACCAACCATGACAACCCAGTGCAAAATCCCATTGGGGTCACTAAGCATGACAACCAAGTGCAAAATCCCATTGGGGTCACCAACCATGACAACCTAGTGCAAAATCCAATTGGGGTCACTAAGCATGACAACCAAGTGCAAAATCCCATTGGGGTCACCAACCATGACAACCTAGTGCAAAATCCAATTGGGGTCACTAAGCATGACAACCAAGTGCAAAATCCCATTGGGGTCACCAACCATGACAACCCGGTGCAACATCCCATTGGGGTCACCAACCATGACAACCTAGTGCAAAATCCCATTGGGGTCACCAACCATGACAACCTAGTGCAAAATCCCATTGGGGTCACCAACCATGACAACCAAGTGCAAAATCCCATTGGGGTCACCAACCACGACAACCTAGTGCAAAATCCCATTGGGGTCACCAACCATGACAACCTAGTGCAACATCTCATTGGGGTCACCAACCATGACAACCCGTTGCAACATCCCATTGGGGTCACCAACCATGACAACCCGTTGCAACATCCCATTGGGGTCACCAACCATGACAACCCGTTGCAACATCCCATTGGGGTCACCAACCATGACAACCCAGTGCAACATCCCATTGGGGTCACTAACCATGACAACCCAGTGCAACATCCCATTGGGGTCACCAGCCATGACAACCCAGTACAACATCCCATTGGGGTCACCAACCATGACAACCCAGTGCAGCATCCCATTGGGGTCACCAACCATGACAACCCAGTGCAACATCCCATTGGGGTCACTAACCATGACAACCCAGTGCAACATCCCATTGGGGTCACCAGCCATGACAACCCAGTACAACATCCCATTGGGGTCACCAACCATGACAACCCAGTGCAACATCCCATTGGGGTCACCAACCATGACAACCCGTTGCAACATCCCATTGGGGTCACCAACCATGACAACCCAGTGCAACATCTCATTGGGGTCACCAACTTTGACAACCTGTTGCAGCATCTCATTGGGGTCACCAAGCAGGACCATCCAGTGCAACATCCCATTGGAGTCACCAACCATGACAACCTAGTACAACATCCCATCGGGGTCACCAACCATGACAACCCAGTACAACACCCATTCGGGGTCACCAACCATGACAACCCAGTACAACATCCCATTGAGGTCACCAACCATGACAACCCAGTGCAACATCCCATCGGGGTCACCAACCATGACAACCCAGAACAACATCCCATCAGGGTCACCAACCATGACAACCCAGTACAACACCCATTCGGGGTCACCAACCATGACAACCCAGTACAACATCCCATCGGGGTCACCAACCATAACAACCCAGCACAACACCCAATCCAGGTCACCAACCATGACAACCCAGTACAACACCCATTCGGGGTCACCAACCATGACAACCCAGTACAACATCCCATCGGGGTCACCAACCATAACAACCCAGCACAACACCCAATCCGGGTCACCAACCATGACAACCCAGTACAACACCCATTCGGGGTCACCAACCATGACAACCCAGTACAACATCCCATCGGGGTCACCAACCATAACAACCCAGCACAACACCCAATCCGGGTCACCAACCATGACAACCCAGTACAACACCCAATCGGGGTCACCAACCATGACAACCCAGTCCAACACCCAGTCATTCTAGGACCAGTACTGCACCTATATTTCACTGTGATATACTCAAGCCAACAGACACAGGAGACTGTTTACCTGGATTCAAGGGACTGTATCTTCTTCTCCCTCTGTTTCTTGTCCTCCTCGTTAGACAGAATATCGTTAGATGCAATCAGGGCCTCGAACTGCCTCCTCATCATCTGTAGACAGGAGTGAGTGAGTGAGTGAATGAGTTAGTGAATGAATGAGTGACTGGACGTGTGAACGAACAAATGAGTGTAAGTCACAGAGACGATGTCCAAAAATAAATATAGATATAACTAAATAACAGTCTCCATTCTACAATGAAAATACAATACAAAGTCTCTTTGGTTATAGTATAGATGTTTAGAGATGTGGAACAGTATGGATTTAATAAGCTCTTCATTTTGTCACCTATTCAACATGTTCAAGCTGTTTTGTCAAGGCGATGATGGTCAGGTTTTTTTTGTTATTATTTCTTTGTCAGAGAGGGGGAGTCAATCGATTGTCAAACACATTCTGAGGTCAAATTATTCAGTTTTTAGCCTTTTCTCTTACAAAATACTGTAACAAATGGTTGGTCCCAGGGGACATAACTGCACAGCAACCACAAACCCAAGTTCCCCCTGTTCTTCTAGAAAACTTAATTCTCAAAATGGTCATACTTCTGCTCCTTCCAGACTGTTCTTCAGGTTGAGGATCTCTCTGTCCTTGACCTTCAGCTTGGCCTCGAGGTCAACACGGGTCTGTTTGAGTGGCTCTGTGCTCTGCAGCGACGACTTCAACTGCGTCTCCAGCATCTCACAGTCTCTGCAGAAACAACATCCACAACACATGAGACAGCGTACAAGTCTCTCTGAAGGCAATATTTTGAAAATATTCACCTGTAATTACATTTTCCATTCCTGGTATTTGCATCTCATTTCAGTGGTTGATAGAGTGTGTTAAGATCCATGACTTCACAGGTGAACAGTTCAGCCACTGAGGCCATCAATTCACTGATTCAGTCTTTGAAGGCTAGCTCTGTACCTAGGTTCCATTGCATGCACAGTGAGGATTTGCTGGTGCTCAAATTTGTTATTTCAGCAATACCTCATCTATACGACAGCTGTCTGTAAATAACCCAGTATGGACAAGATAATTCGGTGATTACCGATAACATGAGCATTGATGGAAGAAAAATCTTCAATAACATGTATGATTGTATCAATCAAGTCTGCAAGCATAACAACCACATCCCACTGGTTGCATCTTACATGAAGCAGAAGTTGCTGACGACCAATTCTAACAAGGATCTTCGGAAGATGTGCTTAGACATATTTAGAAAAATACTACTTTCCTACTCACAACTGAGATCGATCCAGCTTCCTTGATAAGTCTTCCAGTCGCTTGTTCTGGACATCATATTGTGGGATGGTTAAAGAAAAAATCATAGAACATTAATGATGCCACATACCAAACTTAAATTTTACAAAAGGTGAGAAACCCAGAACCATACATGTATAAAAATTGAAAATGGACACACACAAAATACAGAGTGCATCCACTAGGACACAGAGAACGCATATTCATGTTCAGGAGTAAATGCTGTCATCTTACACTTTGGGATGCATGTTATCAGTGTTTCCGCTGATTTAATTATTTATCGGACACTGTGTCTGGCGACCTACAATTTTACCGGACATGAATGAAATTTGCTGGTCATATCCTATTACCTTACTGTAAGTACTCATTTTAAAGTTATTTTTAGCCTGGGTATTTCCAAACATAACAATTTTTGTGACCATGAAAGCACAGCCAAGACTGTGTCATTTCGGTTACCCATGATGTTTTTATTTTAATACATGATTATTTTCACAGTGTCCGGCTGGCTTTCAATTTACCGGTCCCTAATGAATTTTTCCAGCGTTTTTCAGGTATATACCGGAGAACGGAAACACTGATGTAATGTCTCAGAGTGAGGGGACAGTGTGGTAGATAGAGTGTCCGCCCGGAGAGCGGGTTCAATCCACGGCCGCGTCATACCAAAAGACGTTAAAATATGGTACTTGTTGGTCCTTGCCTGGCGCTCGGCATTAATGGGTACAACAAGGAGAAAAACTCTGAAAACTAGCCGGGGGTTTAGCATCTATCAGATTTAGACGACCCTTGGCCTTATGAAATCCCTGGAATTCCAAGGATCCGCGGAAAATTCTCATCCCTGTTAGTAATATTCCTGCAATATCACAGTGGGGGACACCAGATATTGGCCTCACATATTGTACCTAAGTGGGGGATCAAACTCAAGTCTTCGGCGTGATGAGTGGATGCTTTAACCACAAGGCAACCTCACCGCCCCTCAATGAATAGGAAGGATTACTTGTGTGTTTGTTTCTTTGTTGTGTCTGTCTGTAATACCAATCTGGACCAAACTATCCAGTGATCACTACTGTGACCAGCAATCCATGCTCTCGGGGTACAATATAATACAAAATAATACAATCAACCAAGTCATAAACTCAATTGGCCATCTGATCTATTTGGCTTATGACCAGCATATTCTAACCTAGAATTCATAGTACATGTATTTGATCATTTTCATAATGAATTCCTATTTTGCAGTTATCACAATGACCTTCAAAAGGATATCTTCACATTTGGTTCTGTACTTTCTGATCAGCAAACTGAAAACAAAACAGATCAAGGTCAGTAATATTTGATAGAATTATCAATATATGCGACATGGAACTGCATGTAATCAAATGATGTCCACAGAGATTTAACATGTTTAACACTTGTATGGATACATTACGATTTCAGGATATAACTATTTCATATCTAACATCTGCCTTAAAATATCACAACAGTAAATGAGTGACTTTAAACTATTTATACTACCACTGATTACGATGTGTGTGTGTGTGTGTGCGCGTGCGTGCGTGCGTGCGTGTACGTGTGGGTGCAACATGCATTTGCTTGCGTATCTGAGTGTGTGTGGGTGAGTGAGTGCATGCATATACTTTTTTGTGTGTGTTTGTGCATGTGTGCATGCATGCATGTTTGTCTGCAAGGCTCGATCTAAGAGATGTTATCCTACTTGCACCAGGTGCAACCTAAGATAAAAACCTAGTTGCAACAGCCAAATTCCAGTTGCACTGCTTTTATTGCAATATGTAGATGCAGTTATTTAGATGTCTTACTCATAAGCATACCCAATCAAAAGTTATACTAATAGGTTGCACTTTGTAATATTGGGTTGCACCAGTGCAGGCATCCTCGATGATCTCCAGGGTATACGTTATTATAAATCTCCACTATACCCTGGATGCATCTACGGCTCGGCCTGATGATTTTATCATAACGTATACCCTGGAGATTATCGCGGAAGCAGTGCAAGTAACAAAGCACCAAAGGGAGCCCTGGTCTGTCTGGCTGTGTAGCGCCGGTCAAGGTAACAACTCACTCGGTGGAGATGATCTTCTGCTTCAGAGTCTGGTAGTTGATGGCGTGCTTCTCCTGCAGGCGCGTCACCTCCTGGATACAGAAGGACATGGGATCATCAGTATGGACAAATACATGTGTGAAAAGTACTGTAGCTCACCTGTATATATGTCGTCAAGACTTAGACTCAACAATACCTTACTATCACCAATGATGTTCAAACGTTGAAATGGTGAGGACTGAACCCTAAAACTGAAATGATTTTTAAAACGTTTATCATCATAAGAACAAAAATGCATGCTCCCTCTGAGCAAATTATGATAGCATGGTCAAATGATACACTATTAAGGAAACAAACAAACCCAAAATGTTTTGAAAATATTTAATCCAACAGTTAACTGATGTATGGCTATAAACAGTATTGTTTTCAATTCTGCAGCTGTGAGAGTGTAATTTTGAAAAGTAATAATAATACTCTCTTTTTCACTATTTGAGAGACACATTGCAGCCCCAAAGTTAAAAAAGGACAATCTCACGACACACTGTGTTTATGGCAGTGTGAGAAATTTCTGCTGGCCCACTGGCTGGCAGCTTTTGATTTGTTCGTTGTTATGTACATCTCAGTCAACCTCAATCTCAGTAATTTAACACTGGCTAGTAACTTTCAAGGTCAGCTAGCTACTCTGTCCAGTAAAATTTTCAAATTATTTTGCATACTGGTTCATGGTGATGTTAAACGACTATTAGTGGCTGTATGAAGTCCTTGCTTAAGTGTGACAAGAGAGTGAATCAAGGCTCTTTCAGACCAGACATGTGTCTATCCTCTTGCCAGGTGCAGTATGGATGTTTATTTCACCGACATACGTTTTGGATCCAAGGAGACGATCCAGTGTCAAGACAACAGTAACCAACTCCTGGATACTACTGAATGCTCTGAGACCACCTCCGTGGTGTAGTGGTTAGAGCGTCCGCCCGGAGAGCAGAAGATCGCGGGTTCGATCCCCGACCGCATCATACCAAAAGACGTTAAAATATGGTACTTGTTGGTCCCTGCCTGGCGCTCGGCATTAATGGGTACAACAAGGACTGGTCGGCTCGGAGTCAGTATAATGTGTCTGAGTGGGGTATTCATGCTTCACTGCGTCATGGTATCTCAGTGGGATAGCACTATAAAACCAGCTTCAGTCTGGGCTAGTACAAGCAGCCGCACATACACATACACATGCATGCACGTAGTCATATGAGCGAAATATTCTCAAGCATGACGTTAAACCCAATTTCACCTCACCTCACTTAAGTGTGACAAGAGAGTGAATCAAGGCTCTTTCAGACCAGACATGTGTCTATCCTTTTGCCAGGTGCAGTATGGATGTTTATTTCACCGACACACGTTTTAGATCCAAGGAGACGATCCAGTGTCAAGACAACAGTAACCAACTCCTGGAAAGTGGTGGTCCGATTAATTGAAATAATCGAAGATTGGTCATAGTGACTAAACGACCAAGCAATCGATCATGTTTTCTCATAATCGAACACGACCAATCTTGGAACACTTGTTTGCATTAACAATATTTTTCACAAGGCTGGTTTTGTCTGTGTCATTAAATTTACATTTCATAAGCACTACAAGTCATGATTAAATTTATCTTAAAGAATCCAGGAAATATGTGTTCCTAACATACTAATCATCATTTAAATATGCAAAATTTGCAAATGGACTTTATGCAATTTGCAAAAAACCCAAATTACTACTTGTTTTTTCTTTATTATTTTGTGTGCATTAACAAAAATAACAGGAACATTTGATAAATGACGCTAACCAATTATTTTCGATGATTGATCGGTTGTAATAGACCAATCATCAATTATTAGATTTTAACCAATTCCCAACACTACTCCTGGATACTACTGAATGCTCTGACATTAATTCTTGGGCTGCTTATTTGGTCCACTGTATTATTTCTTTGACTGTGAACCTAACACAGCCTGTTTCAATATCCCGTATTGATTTTGCTTGTTTGTAGTTTAAAGCCACACTCTACAATATTCCACCTATAAGGCGGTGGTCTGTAAATGCACGTAATCTTGAGTGGAAATAACTTTAAACTTGCTAGTGTACTCAGGTACTGTGGCACATGTAAAATCACTTGCCCTGATTATTTTTCCACTATACCGGCCGGTTTTCTTGTTCATTTTTTACATAAGCAACATAATTAACATTGTAAAGTCAACTAGTGAGTGAGTGAGTGAGTTCATATTTAACGTCACATAAAGTCAACTAGACACCGGTACAGCGTGATATACAAATTTGCTTGCTTGACTTGGATTTTTTAACCCCACTGGACTGGGACGTCAGGCAATGGGTTATTTCCACCCCTGGTAATCAAGTCTGGACCAGACAATCCAGTGATCAACATGGTGACATCATGAGCATCGTTCTACGCAACTGGGATATAATGACCTGTGTCAACCAAGACAGCAAACCTGACCACTCAGTCTCATTAGTCGCCTTTTACCGTTTACGACTAGCATGGGTTGCTGAAGACCAATTCTAACACAGATCTTCAGCGGTCCCTTCATTGAAATCAATAACCTGAGGTCATCTGCTGAAATATGAATGACTTCTTTGCGTCCAAATGTATACTTTGTTTGAAATGTTTTAATTCAACATATTGAATATATCTCCTCTAATTCAGGATGCACCAGTTTCTCTGCCTTGGCGCTTCAATTAGGAATTTACCTTCTCATGCAAGCACACACGCAAACAAAAAAACGAAAGAAACCAAAAACAAACACTGGTAACATCACCTTGTCGACATTTCCAACAATGACAATTGATTTAGCGAGATGGCTACATATTGTCTGTAACAGTCTGTGTGTGAGATGACAGTTGATAATTCGGAAATAGAATAAACGGTCCCGATTGATCCAGTTTTGTTTTGCCGAACCTATTAACACGAAGCGGTTATATGACAGGTGTAACAATAACCAGTGACAATGTGGAGGCGGCACTGACTGCTGCAAGTATTGATTCATCTCTAATTGCATTACCTGAGAGGTGAGAATATCTAACAAGCTACCAGGAATTATGGTTTATGTTTCCCAAAGGATCTATGACATTAATTAACGAGGGAAAGATTATATATAACTCGGTTAACTAACTATTCTCAAGTTATTCTAAGTCATCTCTAGATGTCATCTCGGAACACTTTCCAAATTCTTATTGCTGTAACTATGGTAACTCCAAACCATCGGTATCCCTACACACCAGTAACCTAGCAACCTTTTCACAGCTCACTAGGTTGTTAAAAAGAGCTCACTTTTACCATTCAGACTAAGCATATCTGTGTTGCTTACACCATGTGACACCAGTAAGACTTAAGAAAAATGATGCTGCATTTAATTCCTTGGCATTAACTGCTGCGACAAATGCCAGTCATTGATGTAACATTACAGCTGCTCGGTCATGCAATGTTAAAGGTTTAAACATGAACACTCCTGGACAAGTTGATGCCAAAAACCACCAGTGAGTGAATGGGTTAAAATATAATGCCTGCCAAATACATGATACAGTGACAATTCTGTTATAACAGGGGTCAGCAATTTTGTGAAACAAACACACACACATGCACACACACACCATCCCCAGCCATATATTATGATCGGTCCTTAAGGGACAGTAAAAATCACTTGCATGGTATCCCAAATTTCTATGCCTAAACACTAACCATTTCCTAGATTGTACAATCTTTCTGTGCATCAATATTTCATTTATTACTATCAAAATACCAGCTATAGGCCACTAGCAACCAACGCAAGACCACCTCACTGGGGATCATGACACCATGATGGATGGATGATAGATAGATAGATGGGTGGGTGGACAGACAGATGATAGATGGATGATGGGTAGATGAACAGACGGATGGCTGTGGAATCTTTATTAAATTGCAGTTATTCATTCACAATCAGAATTACAGAATAGGGTAAAAATAATTAGGGTAATAAGACTTTAAGAACAAATGAATGAAAAGTACTGCAGGCAAACACATAATAAAGATCATAGAAAAATTGTACTTCGAAAAGAGTGAATGAGTGAGTATGGTTTTACGCCGCTTTTAGCAATATTCCAGCAATATCACGGCAGGGGACACCAGAAATGGACTTCACACATCGTGCCCATGTGGGGATTCGAACCCGGGTCACCAGCGTAACGAGCCGACGCCTTAACCATTAGGCTGCTCCACCGCCCCGTACTTCGGAAAGAGAATTTTAGACTGACTGAGTTTAGTTTTACGCCGCTTTTAGCAATATTCCAGCAATATCACGGCGGGGGACACCAGAAATGGGCTTAACACATTGTGCCCATGTGGGGAATCGAACCCGGGTCTTCGGCGTGACGAGCCAACGCTTTAACCACTAGGCTACCCCACCGCCCCAGAGAATTTTAGAACATGTAATACCCAATATACAGCACTGCTTACAGAAGACTAACTAGATAATCATAATAACACATGTACTTTGATTCATCGCTATGGTTACTGATTAACTTTGCCCAGTCCATTACTCACCCAAAACATATTGACTCTTAAGTCTTTTAGGGGAGATATGATTGATGAAAGTGTAATTTCTTAATATTCATACTTAAAACATAACACCCCTAAAATTTCCTTGTAAAAAGTACGAATCATAGTACCAGTGTATAAAACATAAGCTCTGGAGCTACAACACCGGCACTAGGTAATTAGTCAAGGTTCATAAGGCCTAAAAAAAAGAAGATGTGATTTCGATTACCCGACCGGCCCTTGAATTCTGGTGCCGACCCAAGTTTTTTTAGAAGTATTTTTTTTAATAAATAAGCTTTCAGATACCATTGTTTTTTCCTGGCACCAACGGACATTGGTCATTCTGATAAAAGGAGTCGATGGGCTGGCCTGCTTGATTGAATAAACAATCACACATTTATAAATCTGTTATTAGTTCGTACTTTACTTAAAAAAAATGTAAAGAAAAAAAAAGAATTCCTACCTACCTACCCTAAAGTTTAAAGAGGTGTAATCGGAACCACAACATTTTTTTGTTTGGTCTAAATATACGGAATAC